AAAAAAAAAAAACCAAATGAAATGAAAAGGAAACTATGAAAAATGTAAGTTCTTTTAAACCAGTGTTTCAGATAACAGAAAAGATTAGCTACTGAAACAAACACAATTTAAGTTCCCTCAAAATTTTCAGTGACATTATCATTAGCGCTCGTTATAAAAACAACAACAAATAGCATCAACACTAACAGTAAAAACTTGAAAACAGATGTAAATGAACAAGAGACAACTAAAAACAGGAATCTTCCTCAATAATCCAAATAACCGATCACTTTCAGAACGATCATCGAATTCGTCGCTTATTTCCTCAAACAAACCTGCCAAAGGAACCGCTAAATTCAACGAAACGGAGGTAACTGTTTTCTTCTTTGCCTGCTTCATTTCCTTTAATGAGCAATTTCACTGCCCCCATTCCCTTTCTCACGATTTCAAATAAGAAAGAAAAAGATGAGAAGAAAAAAATAAAGCGAAAAAAGCAAAAAAAAAAAAAAAAAGTTGACTTATCTTCTGAAACCTGTTGGCAGCTTTGTTGTCACCGAAACACACAGTTGAATGCGACGGGAATAGCTGAAACAGAAAATACCTGAAACCTACTACAACTGTTAAAAGGCTTTTAACTAGTAAACAAATAAAAAAAAACAAATAGAAAGGAAAAAACAACAATTTTGAAGGATCAGCAGAGGAGGAAAAAGAAGAAACTTGAAAACCATAAATTTAGTCTACAATACTTCGTTCATTTGACTGTCCATTTCAAAACAACGATGTTGTACAATAAATTTTTACAAACTATTAAAGAAAACAGTTTCTCTTCATTAATTTTTGTAGGCTTCCAGCATCAAAATTACGTTTCCGCTCAACACCACCTACAAAAAGTTCTGCACTTTTTTCAACTAAATTACAAAAAAAAAAAAATACATAACGAGGTAAACCAAAAAGCAGGTAGGAAACAACAACAACAACAACAACAACAAACAGCTAAACAAACAAATAGCAAAGAAAAAATCCACAATAACTATTAAGGCAACGGCACAACAAGAACAACGACATCCAAAGTGGCGACGACGACGACGACGACGACGACGACGACGGTGATGACTGTGGCTATAGAATAGTGGCCGCGATGTTAGCAGCATCAACAGCCAGTGGCGATGACAAAGAAGCAGTAGCAACGGAAGAAGATGACAGTCATGATGATGGCGATGATGGCGATACTGTTGAAAAAAATGAGTCCAGCATCAGAAAAAAAAAAAAGAAAGAATCAGCAAAAATAATCGGGGGAGAGAGAAATGCAGCAAAATTTGACCACAAACAGCAACGACGACGACGATGACGACAGCGACAGTTACAACAGAAACTTTAATGGCGAGTTAAAACTGAAAACTGAAATAGTTGATGGTGGAGGGCAAAAAGAAGGAAAGGAGACGTGGAGATGAAGCTTCCAAATGAAACAGTGGATAATTTTTGTTCCTATTCGTTTCTTTTTTCCTTTTTCGACATTTTACCTTTGAATTTCCAGCTGTTCAACTGTCGACGGATAAACCGATGTACAAAGAGCTAATGTTTGCTGTTTAGGTGTCCGGTAAAATTTTACAAAAGAAAGTAGAAAAATCTTTCTTTGAAACATCGACCACAGTTGTTGACATTTTTTGACACTGATTATACTTCGAACTGAAACTGCAAGTAATGTTGGCGTCATCAGTGGATGAAAAAATGAATAAATAAATCGGACAGATGGAGCTATACAACTTTTTTGTAAAATTATGACCGGCAAAACGACATTACTG